CAAAAAAGATCATTCTATAGCATCTGCATCTGCGGGTTCTCAGAAATACCTGCAAAGCCCACCCTGTTACCTACACATGTCTGCTCCTCCTTCCGTCTCTGATCATTCTCTGCCTGATAAGGTGTACATTTCATATAGCTGCCTTCAGAATGACTCCTTTGTCCTTTTCCTCATCCCCTCGTGTGTTGATTTTTACTTTGGGGTCCAGTTCTCAGGCTTTGATATACCCTATTCTTTCAAATATTATCTTTGTCAGAGGCTCGGTCATTTTCCTCTGTGTCTGCTTTTTGTAGCAAGCACTGATGGTCCTGTTACATCCTGGTTCCACCTGAAACTAACCAAACTCTCACAACAGTGATTTTTGATACAAGAAATAGATACTGAAATTCACCTTTCAGGTCGGCATGCCCCCTCCCATGGCAGAATCCACTTAACATCCCTGAGTGACAGTGTCAGAATGAAGCTGAGTGCTGTCATATACTCTGTGACAGCACTACTCACTCAGGAAGACACCCATGGTTAATTAATACATAAACCTAGGTTGGACTAAGCCTGAATACAAAGTGGATCAAGTGACTGCACTATACACACTCGGGCAGACTCCTGTGGACCTTTCATGATGAGAAAGGTGTGGAAAGTGTCTTTATTGATGCTGCTTCATGTTTGAGTACCAAAGTGAAGGATATGCATGAAATATTCCATGTGATATCTTTCATACAGAAACAGAATTCAGTTATTTAATTTTCTTTTCTAGAAGTACAGTGATTGTGCTTTAAGATCTGAAGACTGAAGTCACTCTGTTTTCTCTGTTAAAAAACTGCTTCAGTAATGTTCTTTTTCACATCTAAGAGAAAAGAAAACCAACCTACTGTAATTAAGACATTAATATAAATTACATTTTATTAACTTTCATTTTACTACAAAGGCATTGCATGACTTTTTTATAATCTTAATGACAAACAAAACAAAGCAGATCAGAACAGAACAATGTAAGGAACATAGGACTTCAAAACAATGCCACAAAAAATCAACAGTGGCTACCATAATATATCTTGTTTTCTTCAAAATAGTTGTCCTTACCTACACACACACAATAAATTCAAACAAAAAATAATATAAAACCAATCAAACAAAAGAATAAAAGCCTTAAGGGCCTTCAACACCAGACAATATAAAATCAACAATGGCTACCATAATGCCTCTTGTTTTCTTCTAAATAGCTGTACATACCTTCACACATATTTAAATAACAGAAAACAGACTAAAGCTAATGGGAACAAATAATAAAAACATTAGTGGACTTCAAAACAAGATGACAGGAAATCAGGAAAGGCTACCTTAATGTCTCATTTTTTTTTCAAAGTAGCTGTTCATACCATCAAATGTAATAAAATCAATTCTTGTAAACTCATTAGCAGCACTTCAAAGCATGTGTAAGCCTGTGCACAAACATACATACTTTCTATATTAGAGGAAACAACAATATGAAGCAAAACAAAATGCAATAAAAACCAGAAACAGGAGAGACAAATAACAATAACATAGATCCCAGAACTATAACAACATAGGGTTTCAAAATAAGGGGATAACACCTTTAAAATATTAAAACCTATGAAAATTGGGGAAAAACATCTTGTTTTCTAATGTTATGTGGCAAAAACTCTCCCTATAGAAGACATGATGGGATGCCACTGTCCAGTATCACAAAAATTGATCTTTTTAAAATATAGTGTCATCCCAGATGTCAGTAAGATGAGGTGATATTAGAGAATGTATTATTGAATACATTATGTCTGGAGTCTACATAAGCAGATGCCCTGTGGAGACAGGGATACATAGATAGAACATCATGTGAAAACAGAGAAGGAGGCTGACCTTATGCATCAGTAGATGAAGGAGCGCAAGATACCAACACAACTGGGACCAAGGAAGGGGGAGAAAGAAGCCTCCTAGAGGTATCATGGGGAAAATGGCCCTTCCTGTGGGTGCTAAATGACTGACTTCCAGAACTATCTATGGGATAGCATATTTCTGAAGTTACTGTCCAGCAATTTCTAGCACTTTGTTTATTATAGGTCTAGGGTAACCTCATTGTCAGGATCACTTAATAGTATGATGTGGTTTTTGTTTGTTTATCTGTTTTGGTCCTAGGAATAGGCACATGGTTGCCCTGCCAGAGACCCAAATCACAGCTCTTTGTATTTATTATTGTAGGACAGGTTTTCAGTAAGTCGACCAGACTGTGAAAGGACTTCCCGGTGCGCCTGCACAGCTGTATGGCAAGAACTATTCGCAGAAAGGGTGCCAGGGCAGAGCACTGGGACTTGACTCACCTGCACCGTGACTAGTGAGCACAAAGCCTATGGCACTGCATGGTTTCAGCAGTGCCCAAGGAAGGTTCCTCACTATGTGATGTGGATTAAGAGAGATGGAAGCTTCAATAAGAGGATGGAATTCCCAATCACTTCTTGGGCTCCGGCTCTGTGACTGTCCGCTACTTGACCATCTGCAACATCACCTCTGGGGATGAAGCTGACTCTACCATTAGTGTAGATTACAACATTGGTGGATCATAATGTTAAAACACAATGATACAGATGAATGGGGAATTGGAACTTAACAAGGCTACACACAGCACTCAGAAATAATGTTTGATGCCCTGAATATTCAAACTTTTGCATTTTGACCTTCTCAAGAGCTGCCTAGAAACTACTTCACTAGGTCAGGATCTTACCATAGCATGTATACGTAGTGATGGTCCAAAGTGTACCACTAAATTTATTTCCTGTGTTAGGTCTGCTATGTTATCAGTATGTGAGGTGCAAAGACATTCTTCTTTCTGTCTCTAAATACTGGCATTCACTAAGTATGTACTTGCAAGTACATACTGACATCAAGTTTATTTGGTTTAACACCCAATTTAACACCAATTTTATGACAGTTTAGCAAAACATTAGGATGGATCACTATTCTAATTTATATTAGTTCAACTATTATTACTTTTACATTAAAATATATTTTTTATGGAAGACATCTTTAGTAAAAATGAGAGTAAATACAGACAGTAATACTTTTTCTTCCAGTAGCACTAGATAGCTCTTCTTCCTCTTAGATGTATTTACATCAGAGCCTCACCTCCTGAAGCTCTCTTTCCTAACCATCTCTCACGATCAAATCCATGCTCAGGCTGTAAACTCACAATTCATACACACAATTCACAATCAGTTCTGTTTGGAAATACCAGCACTGAACTCTGCCTCTCTGGTTTTCATCCCTTCCAGGGTGATGGAATATATTTCCTCCCACCAGATGGCAGTATGGGGGTTTGTCAAGAACCTGAAAGGGTTGAGAAAAATCCTGACTCTACCTGAGATATATTCCTGCTCCAAAACTTAAATGAGTCTTGGAGATTGGTTGTAGCCTTTAGTTTAGATATTATTCTCACCCTCATTTTCAAAGTCCTTCACACAATAGATGTGCATTCACAATAAACTGCATATGCACCCATTTTACCAACAGAATAGTCAGTGCTTCACAGGTACTTAATAAAACCTGCCCAATGCTATAGCAGCCAATTCGAACATGGAGGAAGGCCTCACACAGCCTGCAAGCTGATCTTCATGTGAGAGATCACCCTTTATCCTAACTTAGCTCAGCTAGGTAAACAGGCAGGTATTTCCACAAAGTGGACCAGCTTTGCTGTGACTGGGGACTAAGCCAGATGAAATTACAGACTAGGTCTGGAGTACAGTGCACACATCTCCACTGAGCTTTGACCTAGAATCTGAGAGCAGCAGGAGGAAAGATGAATCCTACTCAGTGTTCCATCGTCTACCTTATGACACATGGTTCATTCCTTAGTTTCACTCTTAACATATTTCATGAAAACCTATTTCTAAAGTATAGATATCTGAAGGAAGGGAAAATATCGGGATCAAAAAACAGTAAGTGACAACGTAAAGACATAACTGATATTTATTTCCTTTGTAGTGTTAGTGAGTTAATGAAAAGAACTTCATGAAGGCAAACTCAAATATGGAACAAAAAGCAATAAAAAGTTTATTGTATTTTAGGCTTTTTAACTTTTTACATTTCCCAGGTCCAATTTCTACAATCACATTGACTATAGTAAACATCTTTCCTGAGGGGGAGTTGCTGGGCATAACCCTGGGAGTCATCAGAGACAACCATGGGCAACACTCAGCATTAGCTGATGTAGTGAGCAGAGGTCTCCAGTAAAGAACCACATATGCACCAAGCAGGAGCTGAGTCCTCTTCTCTTCTCTTCTCTTCTCTTCTCTTCTCTTCTCTTCTCTTCTCTTCTCTTCTCTCTTCTCTCTCCTCCCCTCCGCTCCTCTCCTCTCCTCTCCTCCTGTCTTCTCCTCTTATATCTCCTCCCGTCCCCTCCCCTCCCCTTCTCTCCCCTCCCCTCTCCTGACCTCCCCTCCTCTCCTCTCCTCTCCTCTCCTGTCCTTTCCTCCAAGAGTCAAGGATGAGCTCTGACCCAAACTGATCATATCACAGTTTTTACTGAGTAATGGTTTCAAGGCCTTGCCATTTAAGATCACATTGGGAAAGATATCATGGACAGGTTCCAGAATTAGCTGATAGAGCCACCACATCCCACTGTTGGCCACCAAAGGAGCAAAATAATAGTGGTGATAACATGAAATTTCAGAATCGGAGGGTGAGGTGTTTGAAGTGCATACACTTGGACCCCCTTAAAGGTTGTCGTTAAGGGACCAAGACAGGTTAATGAGTCAAAAAGGTGATAGTTAATGTCTGGCCACTGGCGGTGGGGGGGGGGGGCAATCTGTATGAAATCAAATCCATGCAAATTATCTGTCTTAGCCACCACACTTCTTAATACTAACTTTGGTAAGGAGAAGATTTGCATGGGCAACTAAACCTTGACCAGTAATAAACTGGGAGAATAAAAGGCTTGAGGAACTCTTTCTCAGCTTGGGGGCTGAAGGACTCAGCATTGGGGCATCTCCACCATGGCCTGGGCTCCTCTCTTCTTCATTGTCACCACTCTCTTCACAGGTCAGATGTGACAAATTGTCACTGCCTCATAGAGACCATTGTTGCCCACACCCACACACCAGCCCTGTCCTTCCCCTAGTACAATTCTCCTGGCTCCCAATGGGATTCTTAATGGAGGTCTGTGTTTCCAGGGTCGCTCTCGCAGCCTGTGCTGACTCAGCTGCCCTCTGCATCTTTCTCCCTGGGACGGACACACAAACTCACCTGTATCCTGAGCAGTAACTACAGTAATTATACCATGGACTGGTTCCAGCAGAGCCAGGGGAAGGGCCCCCGGTTTGTGAAGCGAGTGGGTACTAGTGTAATTGTTGGCTCCAATGGGCATGGAATCCCTGACCGATTATCAGGATCAGGCTCTGGCTTAGATCGGTACCTGACTATCCAGAACATACAAGAAGAAGATGAGAACGTTTACTACTGTGAAGTAAACCACGGCAGTGTCAGTAGCTTTGTATAACCCACAGTGACTTGGCCGGAGGGGAAATGAGACAAAACTTCTGACTGATCTATCCAGTGCTTGCTTGCTTCCCCATTATCCTGACTCACACAGGTCAGAAGGAGCCTCCTGATCCTGCTTGAGAACATTTTTCTTTCCCGGTACCATGACTGGCATGATAAGGCAAGTGCTCAAAAAGAAACAAGAGCAATAAAAGTTTAATGAGTGCCTAATGTCACCCTGAAGTCCCCTGACCCCAGCTCTGTGTACCAACCTGCACTGATTTCCCATACCCCTGAAACTCAAACCAGAGTTTTTGAGATTCTTTAGAACTGTAACTCCAACCTTAAAATCTATATATATGCAATCCACCTTTAGATAGTCATTGATATTCACTCAGATGTCAGTCTACCTGTAAAAAGAGGAATAAAAACTGATGTCCCACAACTTAAGTCTCTAGTTGATTCTTGTTGTGTCATTACTACAATAGATAAGTTACAATTTAATTACATGGTGTCCTAGGCACAAATATGTTCTTAGAAGTATTTCATCTATTTGAGTTATGCATGGAATTACGTAGTTGTTTTCAGTCACCAGTGTACTGAAAGAATTTTGTTTTACAGATGATAGAGCTGTTCGTGGGTGCACTCACAGTGTAATACACATCCCTATCCTTTTGTCCCATTTTTCTATATTTAATACTATTAGTGTCAGTCATTTTCTCATCATGGGGACAAAATATTTAAACCCACAACTTAAAAAAAATAGTTTACTTTGTCCTCATATATTTTAAAGTAGGTGCTTCATAGTCAGTTGATTCCAAGGCAGGCAGGAAATGATGGAAGGATCTGAGAGAGGAAATGTGATCATCTAGTGGAATTCAGGAAACCAAGAGAATGAAGAAAGAAACTGGGGAGAAAGATCCAACCTCAAAGTCCTGCCCCTAGTCACTTGCTTCTAAGAAAGCTCTAAACCCTAGCAGCACACTCAGAAGCTGAACTTATTAGTAGATGAATCCACTGATATGTATAACACCCTCCTGACCTAATCTCCTTCTAGAAGTCCCGTCTCTGAGCACATGAGATTTCTGAAGGATATTCCACATCTAAACCACACCAATGATCTTTCCAAGGAAGGATAGCAATGGTCACTTACTGGGGGTTTCCAGCGTGTGAACTTGACTCACAGAGTCAGGTGCACACACATGATAACATCTGATGTTTACACTGATTGCTAGTTCACATCATCTCCATGTTCACAGTGTTCTCATATTATGCCATGGTGTATGTGTGTGTGTCTGTGAGTGTTTTACTACTGAGAGACAGATGACCTACAAAGGAAAGTGGGCCATTCTGAGCCTGTTCTGTACCCCAAGAGTTGTGAGAGGTTCTCACTGCTATTTACAGTGTGGATTTATTCGTGCAGTGTTGTCAAACTCATTGTTAGGAATGATGCTCTTGTCTTGTAAATATGCCATTTCTTTTAAATAAATCATTTTCTTTCCCATGAATCATGACCAAGATGTAACTTCATATACATTCACAAATTCCAGTGTTTAAACAGGCAAAGACACATATGAATTGTAAGTTAAAAGCATCCTTTCCTCTCTATCTTGAGAGACAGAGAGATAGAAAGAGACAGAGAGAAAGACAGACAGACAGAGAGAGAGAGAGAGAGAGAGAGAGAGAGAGAGAACACTCAATTTTTATGGGCATATATTTATGTTTCTGCCTATTAAGTCCCTTAGTGTGCTTTAGCAAAACATACAAAATAAATTATTTCCCATGACAGGAATCACTGAAACTAAGATTATTTGACAACAAAGTTGAGATTATGTTCTTCGTCACCATTTTTGGAAACCCTGAAACTCTATCTGGTGACCTAGTGGGCTACATGGCTATGATTTTCATACAGATGATGCCCCTTGGGAGCATAGGAATTCACTTTGAGGGATTTATAGGAAATCATATTTGGGGAACTGAGAACTCTACTCTTGTGACCCACAGAGGATTTTAAAGAATGTCAAATATCATTTGGAATATCACAAGCAGAAATGTCCTCCAAAGTTTGCTTTAAGTAATTTGACAACATGAATCGCTTGAGAAAGTCAGTTCTAAGGACATTGCCCATCTCAGAACAACTGTAGAGATGTAGTTCACAATAGTACCAGGCAGAGTCCCACCTTCTATGAGGTTGGACAATATCGAGTGAACTGCTCAATATCACACAAAGGTATGTCCTTCCTGTGCCAACTGTCCTATACAGTCATGTACCGTCATTGGGTTCACCCTGTCTCTCTGAAAGTGACTCCATTTCTTCAATGTAACTTCTCTTATATAGTTTTTACTCTCGCATTCTGTCTAAAATCATGAGGTCAGAAGGCTTTGCTTTCAAATCCATGTAAGTAATGAGTGAGCTTTATAACTGATGCTGCAACTACCATGGAAATCCTTCTTATTGAAAGAGTAACAGCAAAGAAAATTCTTTGTAAATCAATGGAGATATAACGCTTCTTTCAGTCCTGAAAAGGGGCAATGAGCCTGGGAGAACAAAGCATAGAATAAGGCTGAGTATCTGAGTGTTCAGGTGCATAGGACACAACAGCTCAGTGCAAAAGGAGATAGAGAGGTAGTCCTGGTCCAAGCCTCAGCCCTGTGCTTATGAACCAGATGACTTGTTTGGAAGCCAGTTAATTGCCAATGGAGATTTACATGCTTTCTGTATCCCAAATGCGATAACAACAAATGCTTCAGTCCTGACAGTCATTTCAGATCAGACAAGCATTTCTTTCCTGAAGCCATAATCTTTACTGTACCACAAATTCAAAGGGAAGGATTAAGATACTCAGTTTAGAGAACATGGAAAGCACATGCCAAATTACTGGCATCAAACCAAATTCTACTGATTCTAAAATCTGAAACTAAGTGCTTTCAAATTGAAGTGTGTTTCATTTATCCTGAGAGAGTTCGATGGAAAATTAATAGAGAAAACCAAGAAACCCAAAAAAGGTACAATTTCACACCTATGCTGAATGCTGCACTTTAAAAAGCCTAGGAATACATTTTAAAATCACTCTGTCAAGCAGTAAAAATGCAAGCTGAATGTGGAAAACCTACCCCTGACCCCAGATGAACTAAAAAATGACTCAGGTGCTAAAGTGGTGTGGTAGAGGTTCTTAAAGAAAACACGTACGATTCCAAGAATGAAGCCTTAAACACTCTTTCAACTAATGGGAAAGGGATAAACAAATGTCATAAAAGTAAATGTAATGTACTTTAAAAACTAAATAACAATGTTAAAAATCAAACTGTGTGGGAACTCAAGTTGGAAACCGTGTGTCTTAAAACATTGTTGAAATAAAGGAACAGATAATTTGGAAAATTATTTAAAATTCTCCCTACTTCCTGATCATCTGTCTCCTGTTTTACTCTGTAAGATATACATAAATGGGCTTTATTTGTCATACTAATTGTCTTTGTTCATTCAAAAGAAACTGTTGTTCTTTGTTTGCCCTTCATTGTAAGAGAGAGTCTCCTGTGGCTATGACTTCTTTTGGATGTAGCATTTAGCCATCTTAAGAATATCACTGTGTAGTAACTACTGTGCTTATTGAATTACTATTTTATGAAACATACAACAAGGAAATAAAAATCCTATGTTACAGAAGATACTTAATAAACTACAGAATACAAATAGTCATGAAAGCACACTAGGGGGCACTGGGAGCCTTCTCAAGGATTGGCAAAGCCTGAAAAGAGCACAAGGTGGTGCGGGGAGGCGGGGGGTTGTGCTGAGAGGCCTGAGACAGAGGTCAGAGCAGGTGCTTCCTCTCATGAGAAAACACAGAGTTCACCACACTCGGCTTCCCTGACAGCAGAGCAGGTCTCTGACCTCAGGCTCCTACAACTGATGGTGGTGACAGTGTTGGGAAAAGATATATAGTTTACATGACAAAAAAGAACAATGGGCCAGAAGCACTTAAGAGGAAACAAAAAAGGACCATCATAGAGTGAGCAGCAGCAATGGGTGCTCACGAACTCTTGGAACAACCTCACTGTGACTATCACACATTTACTTCTCCTACCATCTCTCCCCACTCTCTGGCCATGTCATGTAGATTTCAGACTCCTGTGTTATGTGCAACCTTTCTGTCCTTCCTCATCCCTGATGTATGTTGATTTTTATGTTGGGGTCCAGTTCTCAGGCTCTCATGAACCTGCAACCCTCAAAACCCCTATCTTTCAAAAGCTCTGTCATTAGCATCTGTGGCTGCATTTTAGCAATCACTGATGATCACGTTCCATACTGGATCCAGCAGAATGTGGCCAAATGTCCACAACAGTGATTTTTGACATAAGTAATAGGCATGCTTAGTCCCTGTCAGGTCTGCAAATTCCCTACCACGACAAAGCCAGCTTAACCCTTTTAGGGGCCCAGCCTTAGGATGAAGCTGAGTGCCATCCCAGGATCAGTGACAGTACTGCACAAAACAGGGAGACCCACAGTGGAAGCCAAGAGGTAAACAGAAGTTTGACTAATCCTGAATACACAGAGGATCGTGTGACCAGGCAATGAATAAATACTATGGCAGACTCACACTGACTGTCCATGAAGTGAAAGTTTTGTAAAGCTGTATGAATTTATTCTTCATGATTCATAACTAATGTGAAGTACACATATGAGTTATTTTGTTTAAGATGTTTCACAACAAAGCACAATGCATTTATTTCATTTTCCTAAATGTACAGTGATTGTGGTGTAAGATCTGAGGTCAAGATCTGAAGTCAATGTATTTCTTCTGTATAGAATTATCTTCATAATGTTGTTTTTGCATCTAAGAGAAATGCAAAGCAATCAACCACTTTTAAATGATAATAAATTATATTTCACTGTTTCATTTTAATACAAAGTAATTGAATATCACATTTAAAGTATTAAGATCTACGAAAATTTGGAAAGACTTCTAAATTTTTGTTTTGAATATCTCCATGTAGAAGATATGGTGAGATGCCAACCTTAAA